CCACCACATCACAAAGAAACAGAATTTCAGGAGGACGAGGCCCAGAAATCAGGATTTTAAAAAGATTCCCAGGTGATTCTAATGTGCAGCCCAGGGTGAGAACCGCTGCTTTAGAGACATCCGGTCCTGGGGGCTGGGCCTCATGCTCTTCGCCCTGTTACACCTGGACTATCGCCTTCCGTCCTGGGAACCCTTTCCCCTCAGTGTCTGCTTACATTGTATTCATTAGCTTGTTGGGCTCAGTAAGACATGCAAATGACACAAAATTCCAAAGGTACAAATGTCCCGCAGGGAAAGTGTCTCTTCCAGCTCCCCCTCTCCCAGCGAGGCCGTCTCCTCCTCAGAGGTAAACGCTGTAACTGATGGTTCCCAGTGTCCTGGGTGGCGTTCCAGAGATGCACCTCGCGCGTGCGCGTGTTTCCATGTGCGTGTGTTTGCGTGTGCGTGTGTGTGTTTACGTGTGTGTGTGCGCGTAGCGCTAGATACCCGTCTGTTTGTAGAGAGAGGAGGGTCTGCACCTCTGGTCCTAGGCCTGCTCCTGCTGCGTTTTATTTGAACGTGCAACCTCAGAGTGTGTCCCCACCCCAAATCCGCAGTCGCCTCATCCCTGGGAACAGCTGCTCCGCAATGGAGTCAGCCCCCTCCTGACGGATCCACATTCGTTTCCAATCTGTTTCTCTCACCAGCAGGGAAGCAGCAACGCCTTTGTGCGCCTGTGTGCTTGGTGCCAGTGTAACTTCCAAAGGGTGGAGAGCATGCTCCCCGACCCATGTCATGGAGCAGTGAGGCGGCCGAGACTCCGCGAGCCCGTCTGGGAAGGGGCCGGGGTGGGAGCGCTGGTCTGGAGAGAGCGGGGACGCCGGGTGCGGGCAGGCTCTCCGGACCGGAGCGAGGCGCTGTGTGAGGCACAAAGCTGGCTGATGGCCAGACGCCAGGGCAGCACCACGGTCACCGTTGGGATTGGCTGTTCTGCAGGACGGAAGTCATTTGCATCTCTCCCAGACAAGATTAATCTGAACTGTTATTAGAGGTTCACAGGCTGACGCTCAACCACCGAGCCACGCCAGCCGGGCTCACAAGTTTCTTAACGTCCCCGTGAGCACGGAGGTGGTCGCCCCACCTGAAGCCACTGGGAACCGAGACGCTGGACTGAGTGCGTGTGCCGGGCAGGCTCACTGGCAGCAGCTATTTCTCTGAAGCGCATCAGGTGCGGCAGCTGCAGACCAGGTCGGTGAGGAGCGGCTCTGCCTCCGGCTCAGGTGTCCCTGCCCTGCCAGGAGCCTCTCACCTCCCCGCCAGAGGCCGCCAGAGCAGGGGGTCCCCAGGGGCGTCACTGAGGGCAGCTGATAAACACGGGAGGGGGGCCTGGAGGAGGAGGCTTGTGGCAGCTTTGCTCGTAATCACCCGAAACTGGAAACGACTCCCATGCCATGCCCTGGCGAAGGGCGGGCCCAGCTCGGCTGCGTCCGGCAGCGGAGACAGTCCACGCCGCCGTGGAGCACGGTCCGAGCTGAAGAGGGATGCGCTCGGTGCACGCAGTGACACGGGGGAACCCCAACGCGCACGCCCTGTATCTGGGTCCTGATAGCGGTTACAGCACTGCATACACTTGTCGAAACGTAAGAAACTGCACACGTGAAAAGGGTGAGTTTGCCCTGGCTGGTGGGCTCCGTGGTTAGAGCGTGGCCTGCGCTCTGGGGTTTGGTTCCCAGTCCAGGGCACCTGCCTGGGTTGCAGGTTGGATGCTCAGCCCTGCTCGGGGCACGTGCGGGAGGCAGCCATTCGAGGTGTCTCTCTCACATCGGTGTGACTCTCTTTGTCTTCCCTGCCCTCCCTCCCTTCTACTCTCTCTGCAGAGCAATGGAAACACATCCTCAGGTGAGGATTAACCACAAAGAAAAAGTGTGGCTTAAACTGTCTCTAATTCTCGTCCATCAGGGTTAGGAAAAGGGCCATCAGAGACTTAGGCCAACCTTCAGCGCAGCGGTTCTTACCCTGGGCTGCACATGAGAATCACCTGGGAATCTTTCTAAAATCCTGATTTCTGGGTCTCATCCTCCTGAAATTCTGTTTCTTTGTTACTCATGTTGTGGCCCCACCCCCATCACAAAGAAACAGAATTTCCGGAGGACGGGGCCGGGAAGGGGCCGGGGTGGGAGCGCTGGTCCGGAGAGAGCGGGGAGGCCGGGTGCGGGCAGGCTCTCTGGACCGGAGCGAGGCGCTGTGTGAGGCACAAAGCTGGCTGATGGCCAGACGCCAGGGCAGCACCACGGTCACCGTTGGGATTGGCTGTTCTGCAGGACGGAAGTCATTTGCATCTCTCCCAGACAAGATTAATCTGAACTGTTATTAGACGAGAAGCATTTGCATAGCTAACAGTTCTCTGCGAGTTGACATCCGCCCTTCCGGGTGTACAGTACCCTGAGCCACAGCAAAAAGTATGTCAGACGCAGGTGCACGTGTCTGTGTAACTAGAGGCCCCGGTGGGGGTCTGTCCGCGCCCCACCCACCGCCACTGTGGGTGGGGCTCTGTCCGCGCCCCACCCACCGCCACTGTGGGTCCTCATTGCCAACCAGCTGGTGGATGGACCAGCTCCAAACTCCAACCTGGCCGGGCATTGGGGTCACGTCTGGCACCTGCTGCCACAGGTCGGGTTCCTGGGAGACAGGTGACAGGTGGCGATCGGCATCACAGGTTGATTGCTTGGGGGCCTGCCCAGGTGAAGGTATTAGGTGGGGCCTCTGGACGGTGATTGGGTCTAAAGGGCAGAGCCCTTGTGGGGGAGGGTGAGGGGGAGGAGCCCAAGAGCGCACCTCCTTCCTGCCACAGGCAAGAGGCCCCCTGCCCTGGGCCCCACACTTGAGAAGCCCCCACTCCGCCCTCCTCCGGGGACACCCTCCCAGGGCAGGGTTCTACCTGGGGTTGAGCCACACCTCACAGGCTAAGGGCCCGTCCATGCCCCTGAGGGCGGCTAGCACACCAGGAAAGCCCTCCCAGGCCTGCCCAGCGCCCCCTCCTCCCAGCCCTGCCCGGGGAGCTGTTTCCTCCCAGTGTGCCGCCTGGCGTTGGTGGATGTCTATTTGTTTCAATGCACAGCCGCCGGGAGAGCGGGACAGACTGCCCTGTGCGGACACGTTTGGAAAGACCCAGGCGCTGGGAGCATCGCCAGGCGGGTCCCCGATTTTCTCACCCTGCACAGCCCCCCTGCCTGGTCTGCTTCTGCCCACGCGGAGCCGAGGGGGGGAGAAGGCGAGGCCCTGTGGTCACTTCAGCCTCCGACTTCCTGCGAGGGTGGGCGACATCCATCGCGGTTCCTCTCCAAATTCATCGACTGGCCCGGCCGGCCCTGGTCGCCATAGCAACCACCCCCCAGTGCTTTGTGATCAAGAAATGGAATTCATCACCGTGTCATTCGGTGAACTCTTCTCCAGACACATGGAGGGAGGAACAGCTACCGGAAGCCCAGCACCTACAAAAGGGCCTTTGTTCCCAGGACAGTTCAATGGCCGAGAGGCGCAGACACCACTCAGAAAAGGGCGGCTCCTAGTTAAGGAGAGCTGGAGGCTCCAGGGTGGCGGGGCTCCACACACAGCTCCCGGGCCCCCCCTGCCGCAGGTAACCCCCGGGCGCAGGTGACCGGAGCCCTCCTGACGGTTCAAAGGCAGTGAGGTCTGATGCTTCCCTCCCCCTGTCCTGGGTTCGGCTTCACTATTTCCCATGAGGGATGTCGGTGGGGTGGGTTCCCTCTGCCCTCTTGGTTCTTCTAGCTGCTCCAATGGCTAAAATACCATAAGGCAGCTCAGCCGGCAGGGCTCAGGGGTTGAGCATCCACCTAGGAACCAGGAGGTCAGGGTACATGCCGGGTTATGGGCTTGATCCCCAGGAGGGAGTGTGCAGGAGGCAGCAGATCGATGGTTCTCTCATCATGGATGTTTCTCTCTCTCTTTCTCTCTGGACCAACAAAAATATTTTAAAAATAAAAGAAGGCAGACTAACCGAAGAACAGCAAGAACACAGCGCAGGGGAATTCGCAGAGCATGAGAATCCCAAAGGTTAGAAATGCAAGATGAGGTGTGTGCGTCCTTCCGGACGCAGGAGAAGGAGGGACAGAGCCGGGTCGGTAAAGGGGAGTGAGGCGGTTCACAGGGAGATGGAGGAGCCAATGTTTAGTGAACAGATGCCGGCTGGGTATCTAGAGACCGAGTCGCAGAGGGACTTGGACCCCAGGCCTTGCTGGGCCCCCGGCCACCCCAGGTTCTGATTACACTATGGTTAGTGGCTCTGTGGTGATAGTTCTAACAGGCCTCTATGGGGCTCGGCTACGGTGTTTTGGCCGGGTTCAAGCCTCGGACTAATGAAAGGGCAGGGTCCTCTCATGGCCACGTGCAAGTCCCAGCTGGAAGGGCAGGCCCCCCCAGCACAATCATAGCCAACGGCTGTGGTTGTGAGCTTGAACCTATGGTCCGAACACGTGGCCCCGCATGCCTTGTGCTAGAGTTCAGGTGCATGTAGCTGAGTAGGGTTGGAGCTCACGAGAATGCTGTAAGCAACCTGATCACGCCCATGCTTTGCCTCATGGCAGCTGCTATAAAATAAAGACACGGTGTTGGGCGCCGGCGCTGTCTCCTCATCAGGGAGCAGCGTCCCACTGAGACCCAGCTTTCATTCTCTGGTCTGTCTTTCCTTAATCCTTTCACCCCCCCCCTCCCCCACTCAGTTCACCACAACAGGCCTCCATCTTCAATTCTTTCCCAAAGTTTGGGGGAAGGTCAAGGATTATTCCTCAGTCTTATTTCTTTTAATATAAATATAGATTAGATATAGATATAGATATAGATATAGATTTCAGAGAGGAATGGAGAGGGCCAGAGAGAAAAACATCAATGATGAGCGAGAATCATGGATCAGCTGCCTCCTGCATGCCCCGTTCTGGGGATCAAGCCTGCAACCTGGGCATGTGCCCTGACCAGGAATTGAACCCTGACCTCTTGGTGCATGGGATGAGGCTCAACCACTGAGCCACACCAGCCAGGCCAGGGAGCTCCTTAGAGCAATGAAAAGAGCAGGAGAAACCATTGTGCGTGCAACATTTTAGAAGATGATACAGACAAATGCACAGGACAAAAAGGGAAATGATCAAGCTGTCTCAAACAGGAATGGAAAACCTGTGGCAGGAAGGACACGGGGCCGCAATCCTACCCACAGAAAATGCAGTCCAGTGGATGAAGGCCAGGCCAGGCTGTCTGAGCCTCACGGAGCACACGGCCCCTCCCCTCGCGGATACCAGCTGCTCTGAAGAATCTGGGACAATGGCAGCAGGACGGGCTCCCCACCCCACTTCACAAGGACAGCAGAACTTTGATGTCAAACACAGGCCAGAGCAGCACCTACAAGGGGAATGAGGACACAGATGCGCCAGGCCGAGATCAGGATGAGCGAGCCCAATCCAGCGATCTATATATAAACACTTCACCCCGAGCGGCGTCTCACTCGGGGACAGGAAACCGCTCAGCGCTGACACATCCGCGACAGGGACCCGCCACACTAACAGGCCGCCAGGGAGCCCTGGCTGGTGGCTCGGTGGCTGGAGCATCATCCTGTTCACCAGAAGGTGGGCACGCCAATTCGCCTTTGATGGTCCATTTAATGAATCACCTTTCCGAGCAGGATGGAGCCTGGCCCATCGGGGGACGCTCTCTGGCCTGGATGGGGAGTGGAGGGTTCGCAAGGAGCGGTTCCGGGGCACCAGCTCCCTCCAGGCGCGCCCTTCACCCCGGGGTCAGGATTTCAGGGCTGCGTGTGCGCAGCAGCGTGCAGGGCTGGCTGTGAGAAATCCTCTCTCTGGGCTGTGAAGGGAGAAATAATCGCAGGGCCCCAGGGGAATCGCAGCCCGCAGCTGCTCTTTCACACCCACCGAGCCATTCTCCACGGCAGATCTGGGCGAAGACTGATGGAGCCTCGCACGGTTCAAAGGGGCATCCCCTGCAGAGGTCCTGTGGGGGCGCTGGGCTCCCGCCCCCTGTGCTGGGCAGAGGTGGGGCTGCAGAGGCCGGCAGGGGGTCAGGCAGCACCCCACTGGGGGCCTCAGAGCCACACATCACAGCATCATCTTAGGCAGAAGGTTCAAGCCCGTTGAATGCCTGGGCTCTCGGAGGCAGGTACAGGAATGTCACTACTTTCTAGACCAGGGACTGAAGTTCAAGGTCACGTGGCTCGAAAATAGAGGAGGCAGGACTCAAACCGACTCCTGGACTGACCCTGAATGGGCAGCACCCAGACTGCGGGCGGGGTGTCTGTCTCCTGCCGGGACAACAGCTTCTGGGGGTCAGGAGCTCCCCGTTATGCCATGTGCAGAGGGAGGGAGCCCCAGCTCTGATGCCTTCCTAACTTCCCCCACCCCCACCCGCACCGGCGGCCGCTGGTTTGAATGGAGTTTAAGGAGAAAGAAACAAGGACCCACATGGCTCAGTGTTTGAGCATCGACCTATGAACCGGGAGGTCAAAGTTCGATTCCCAGTCAGGGCACAGGCCTGGGTGCCTGGGCTGCGGGCTCCATCCCCTGTGGGGCGTGCAGGAGGCAGCCGATCCATGATTCTCTCTCATCATGGATGTTTCTATCTCCCTCTCCCTCTCCCTTCCTCTCTGAAATCAGTTAAAAAAGAGAGAAAGAAACAGGGACCCAGCTTCAGACAAAGGGGCATCTTCAGAGGCGGACGGAGCAGCCAGGCCAGCGCGACGCCGCTCCAGCCCCGC